AAGAATCTAGTTTGTAGATCAAAAAAAGAAATCGATGATTTCTGATTCTGCCGATTTTTTTAACATTTTTTGCAGAAATAAAAGCTGTAAATTCATAATTTTGTAATATATATTGATTTAGCATCTTTTGCAAGAATATATTTTGCGTATTCTTCATGTTGTAAAGAACTTGATTGTGTAATATTAAATTTTGTTTCTTTCCTAGCCCGGTAAAATTTACTGTTGCATGATAAACAAGAAATTTTAAAAGTTGTACTAAAAATTCAATCTTATGCTAAGAAACTTTAGTATAACTTTGTTTATTAGAATATATATATATATCGTTATAATAAATTATAGAAGTTGTACAAAAAAGACACTTTGTGCATCCGAAGCATGTTATGGAATAATAATTTTGATCTTTTTTTAAAAAAAATTATGCTAAATGAATATATGGGAGTGAGTCAATAGGAATCAAGCAAATTTTTTATAATAAAAAATTTTTTTCATAACTTTAAACAAAAATAGCTTAACAAAATCTTGACAAAATTTAATAATTTTTACAAACTTTCAGAATTAATTTAAAAAACTTTTTATTAAATTTAGTTAAGCTATCCTAGTTTAAAGTTTTAAAAAAACTTATTAAAAAAAATTTGCTTGATTTCTATTGACTCAACCCATATATTATATATTTATATATATATATATATAAGTCTTTATATAGTATAATATTAGTTGATATACATATGTCATCAAAAAGGAATGTTAAAGAAATCGGCAATCAGAAATCATCGATTTCTTTTTTTTGATCTGCAAATTTCACATATTTTTGCAAACCACAAGAAAATTAGTCGAAAAATCGATTAATTGCAAATTATGTGATCAAAAAAAAAAATAAAAAATCAATAATTTCTGATTGCCGATTTCTTTACATTACTTCTGATGACCTATGTATATCAACTAATATTATACTACATAAAACCTTATATATATTTATTTAGCACACATTTTTTGAAAAAAAATCATTTCTAATGATTAAAATTACTATCCCGGAACATGCTTTGGATGCACAAAGTGTCTTTTTGTTAACTTCTAAAATTTATTGAAGTGAATATATATATGTTGTAGGTGGAAACAGAATTTAAGTAGATTTGGAATTTTATATAAAAAAACCATTTCGTCATATGTACATACTTTAAATTCGATATTTGGGTATACTTGTATAATTAAAATTTCGTGCTGAAAACTTTTGTTTAGAAGTCAAACTACGGTTACCATAGTAAACTCTTGAGTTATTTACGATTTTTTTGTTTTCTCATTGAGAAAACTGAAAAATCGTAAATAACTCAAGATTTTACTATGGTAACTGTAGTTTGACTTCTAATCAAAAGTTTTCAGCACGAAATTTTAGTTGTATGAGTATGCCCAAATATCAAATTTAAGGTATATACATATGACGAAATGGTTTTTTTTTATATAAAATTCCAAATCCACTTAAATTCCGTCTCCACCTATAACATATACATTCCAATAAAAAAAAGCTGTACTAAAGTTCCTTAGCAATATCATGTAATAATTCTTATAAGATTAAATTCAGTGCAGCTTTTAAAATTTCTTCATGCTTATCATGCAATAGTAAATTTTAATGGGCTAAAAAAGAAAAAACCTTAATATTACATAATCAAATTCCTTACAACATGAAGAGTATGCAAAATATATTCCTATAAAAGATGCTAAATCAAAATATGTTATAAAATTATGAATCTACAACTAGGGATGAAAAAAAACGGTTTAAACAGTTTTTTAGATGTTAAACCTTTTTTAAAAACTTTTTAAATATTGGCGCTGAGACTAAAATTTAAAATTTAGTGCTAAATGCCGATTCACAAATTTAGAGATAACTTTTAAAGAAAAAATATTCACTTTATAAACTTTCGTTATTATATAATTACAAGAAATGTGCAATTGCTTAACTGTTTATATATAAATATATATAAGTTTTTTTTTGTATGCTCTTTTTAACTTAATGCATAACAATAAATTTAATTATCGTCATCCCATCAATCTCAATTCCTTGATTCCAAGTTTTTTTACTGTTCATTGTTTAATAAATTTTTCATACTTTTTGGAAGCTTTTTGCATCTATATTAGTAATCCTTTAATCAAGCGACTAAATCTACAGTAGTTACATTTTTGTAAAGTTCAAGCGAATTTCTTTTAATGGAGGTCTCCCACGGAGCATGACTGTTTATAATTTTATACTTTTGAAAAGTGATAACGATACGATAAAGTGGTATTAGTTAAATAAATAAATACTATCCCATTGTTTACGTATTATGATCACGCCAGAATATATTAAATCATTTAAAAACAGTTTTAAATCAAACAATCATGTTTTTAAACATTCTGTTTTAAAACATTTTCCATCCCTATCTACAACCTTTATTTCTACAAAAAAATGTCAAAAAAATCGGCAATCAGAATCAGAAATCATTGATTTCTTTTTTTTTTTTTTGATCTGCAAATTTCGCATTTTTTGCAAACCGCAATAATTACAACTAGTTTGTCAACCGAAAAAATAATTACTTGACCATTCGATTAAAAAAATTATGCCGATATGTAACCCTAGTACAATAAATTATTTTTGTTCACACTAAACTTAAGGAAATTTTTCGGATTCCGGAAACTGGATAAGTGCTTGTTTTTTTCTCACTGTCTATTACTTTTCGGATCTAACTTGGTTTTCTTTTATCTTTTTGGGAATGTGAATTGATATCAGAATAGATATTGGTTTGGGAAGCTGGTCTATAGTTAAGTGCAAACTTCTGTATTTTCTTTTCACTCAGGAACTAAAATTTCTCTTTCTATAAATTGCTGAACGTGAGACCGAACTATATTATAAGTATATTTTTTCTAGAACTAACTAAATTCGGTGAAACCTGACATGATGCTGGAACCGAGATCCTGACTTGAAGCTGGACTAATATTAAGCAGCGTTTTAGTTTTCACTTTCGAGACTTTTCTTTTTTGTAATACTACGTCAGAACTAGTGACGCCTGACGAAACCATGTGATGCTAATTGTCACATGGCACAATATATAAAAATAAACAATCTATTTTGATTTTTATAAGTAATAGCACGTGATAATTAGCATCGGAAAGTCCTAATTCAAAACGACACAGATAGAGAATCTTAAGAATGCCGAAAATTCTGAGACTGGTTGAAATGACGAGAAGTTTTAAACGAACGAAAAGTCTTTAAACTGTTAAAGGGTCTTGGATCTTGGAAATGCTTGAAACAGTTTAAAATTTTGTTTAACGTTCAACTGAATTAAATCCCAAATAAATTATCCGATACATTGAAGAAGCTGAAGACTATATGTGGGAAATTCGTATATCGCTTGATAATGCATAATTTTTTATAAGATTTAATTCAGCAATTTTTTGACAATAATAATATTGCAGAAGATGATGAATACTACTCTGGTATATGTGTTGAACTTCTTGAAAAGTTTTAGATATTAAAGTTCACTGAATAATTTCGAATGTATTGACTTTCTTTTCTACGCAATAAAAATTATATATTTAAAATTTTAATTAAGTCTTATAAATTCGATTTATAATGTAAACATGCTGGGCTGGACTACGAGATCTTGCGAATGTCAAATTTTAAATAGCACTTATATAACTGATTTTGGTGGGAATTAACTGTAACAATAATCGGTCACCAGATTGCAATGTTAATTTGATATGAGTGTCGCCAAAAGAAAACCCGACTATTTAAATATAGTCTATATTTAAATTCCCGGGTTTTCTTTTGGCGACACTCATTTATATAATCAGTTATGATTAATGACTGATCTTATCGTTATGTATTGATGATTTAACACTCATTATGATTGGCCAAAGATAATTATTCAAAATTTTACTAATTATCAATTAAAAAAAGCATTTATTTATTTATTTATATAAAACGTAATGAAGTCAGAGAGGTAGATTCTAAAAATCCTTCAAATTCTCTCTCTACATCAACACCAAGACTATTCTCTGAAATATCTAAATGAATAAGTGTATTATTTTCTAAAAGGGGGTCTATAAATGCCAACCCACCTTCGGGACCAAGAGAGTTATCGTGGATATTTAAATATTCTAAGGTGGTGTTTCTGTAAAGAGCTTCTGCCACTTTTTTTCTGAATTCGTGGTTTAAATAATTGCTAGAAACGTTTAAATGTGTCAAAGTAATATTCTCGCAAATAGCGAGTCCTAACATTTCACCACCCTCAGGTCCCATCTTGTTATTGGAAAGATTTAAAGAAGTCAGACCAGAGTTATGACTGAGGGCATTTGCCAATGCTTTTAATCCGTCCGATTCAAGATCATTATTGTTAAGATTCAAAGTCATTAAAGTTGTGTTCGCATGAAGCGCAATTGCTAACGAACGTCCCACTTCAAGTGTTAGTTGATTGTAAGAAAGATCTAAATAAGTAAGAGCAGTATTTGCGTAAAGTGCGTTTGAAATAGCAATTCCTCCGACTTTACGTAATTTTGCTGTGCTGATACTTAATAAATTTAAGGTCTTATTAGTATCAAGTGCCTTTGCTATTGCCTTCCCACCTTCTGAAGTAATCGAATTATAATCAAGATTCAACCACGTCAGTGTGGTGTTTTTCGAAATCGCATCTGCAATCGCTTTTTCTCCTTCAGAGGAAATGTCGTTATAATTAAGATCTAAAATACTTATGGCAGAATTTTTGTGTAGCACCTCTGCTATTGCCTTTCCTCCTTCATCACCAATACTATTTCCACCGAAGTAGAGGGCTGTAAGGATCTTATTCTCATAAAGTGTTTCAGCTATTGCCTTCGCTCCTATAGAACCAATTTCATTAATACTGAGATCCAATGTTGTTATTGAATCATTTAAACTAAGGACTCTTGCTAAAGCCTCCCCTCCTATTGGGCCAATATAATTGTGTGAAAGGTCTAATGACGTTAGTGTAGTGTTCTTGCAGAGAGTGTCCTTAATGGAATTTAAAAGTTCTTGTGGCTCTGCAAACTTAAAAAAAGTTAAAGAAGTCAAGGGATTATTTTTTATTATTTCATTTATAACTTTAGAGCTAAGATCATTATTATGGAGTTCTAAAGTCTGAATGTTTTTGGCGGCGATTTGAAGATTTTCATCATAAATAGGTCCATTAATTTCCAAATATTTGATCTTCTCACATGTTCGTAGAAACATTGCGATCAAAGAACATCTTACAATTTTTATGAGATGATCACTTGCATTATCGCTGAGGTAATTTATTATGCCAATATTTAAATTATCAGTTAAACGTCGAATATGGCTTGTATATTCAAATAAAGGCCTTGGATGGTTTGGAAGTGTAACATTGCAGGGAATTAAAAGAGCTTGTT